CGTAAATCTAAATATCCAGCAAATAATGGATCGACTGCTAGATGTAAACGATCATTTTCATCTTTTTCTTGATTTTTCCATAATTGTAACCATCCCCGAAACAGGAACAGCAAAATGTTAACTTCGCTCTTTTTTCTAAATGTCCGCCTGATTGTTTACTGTGTCCGTTCTATCCGATCGACTTCGAAATTTGACCATAGATATTCAAGAATGATCTCTACGTGTTACTTTTCGTTTTCCAGTTACAGAATTTTTTTCAGTCTTTTTCTTCTGGCTCGGAAAGGAAAAATAATAGAACAAAAGTAATAAATGTACACTTGAAAAGTATTGTCTAGTATTTCTGATAAAATTTTAAAGTCGATCAGATCAAGCTATCATAGGATCGCAATGGAACGATTTAGAAATCTCAATAGCTAGAAACGTACGACACAAACGAAAAGATGCTCGATGAAGTTTTCTATTCTTCGTGAAAAGAAGACTTTTAGTGTATGTTTGACAATATTTGCACGGAAACACTTAAAAGGGGCCGACGACCTCTTAAAGTGGTAATGAATTAAATGTATAATTTGTTTTGTTTCTATCTCGGTTAAGAAAGTAGACCGAAAACTCCTATTTGAAGCATAAGCCGAGTACTATCTATAGCTCCACGGATAGGTGCAAGAATAAGTGTCGAAGTTTTTAATAGAACAAATACGTTCGTATAGTTTCTGTTTACATTAACGACATTTTATTGCATCGAATATTAGTGACATTTCTTGTATTGGTACAACTACACAGTAGATTACGAATGAAATCTATTTAGCCCTTTTTCTTATCGAAGTATAGCTAAGCTCAAAAATCGGTAGTTTATGAAAAGTTTTGCAGATCGAAATTTTGTCATCCGATAAAATATGAGCTTTTATCAATGGAAATATAAACAAAACAAAATACATTTTTTATTAGCTGTTTTTCAAAGCTTTCCGGGAGACGTTTGTCAGTTTTGAAGGGAAAGTTTTTTTTATAAATCTTTTCAAGTATAGTATCTCTACTAACTGTGAACATTTGAGTGAGAAGTTCAATTGAATAGTCTATGAAAGAAACGTCTGTCTTCTCCATACACTAACTAATTAAAAAAGATCTTTTTTCACGTTTAGATTTGCTCAAGATTGTCTACTATCATGTGGTGTTGTTCTTGTTTACAATGTTAAAGAATGTGTTATGCAACGGCTATCTCGATGTTTAAATACTCAAATTTTAACATCAATTGATACAAGAACGCCTCTACATTTACGACCACCACTTGGAACATGTGATTATTTCAAAATTCAAGAATATGAATTAGAAGATAAACGAAAAAAACGATTAATGTTTTTTGGTGGATGTCATCAACAAGAATTATGTTGTACAGTATTGATTCGTGGTGGAACAGAACAAGAATTGAGAGTAAGAAATTTTTTTTATGCTATTTTCATTTTTTAATCTACTCTGTACTTGTAGGTTGTTAAATCAGTGATGAAATTATTTCTTCTAATTACGTATAGTGCAGCATTGGAACAAGCATTTTTAAACGATTGTCACGCCTATCCAATAACAAATGGTAAGAAAAAATGTTATTTTCTATAATTGAACAAATATATTGAATATGATCGTTTGATTTATTAAAAAAAATTTTCTATTTTTTTTTCTTAGATTTATCATTGATTCGTCGTTTTGATCTTGATCAATATATTCAATCAACAATTGACTCTCCCATTAATAATTCTCGTACATCAATTTGTCAATTACTATCAGATGGTTTTCTATTATCCACCACTCCTCTGATCAAATATCCTCATCCTTATATTCTTTCAACATCACTTGTCACGTTACTTCCTCATGATCTTTATAAACAAATATTTAATCAAAAAGTATTAGCAAAGATAAAAGTAGCTCAACAACAAGAATCAGATGAAAAGAGTGATCATATTCAATGGTATTATAATTCTCCCTATAATTCAGAATTAGTCTCAATTCAAGATAAACATCCATTTATTAAAGATATACAATCGGTACCAAATCAAAATCAACAAACAAAGGTAAAATTCTTTTCTTTTTTAATGAAATGATATTAAATAATTAAGCAATATTATGATCTTAGAGTGTTTATGCTCATTATCGTGCATGTGGTGGTCGTGTTCGTTATCGTCATCGTCGATGGTGGGAATGGTTACAATTATGGAAAAATCAAGAAAAAGATGAAAATGATCGTTTACATCTAGCAGTCGATCCATTATTTGCTGGATATTTAGATTTACGAAGTCATTTGTATATTGCCATTTTATATAGTGCTCATTGTTCTACATTACAAACCAAACAGATTACATGTAGACAACCAGATATTCTTGAATTACCAGCTTATTCTATACATGATACAACATTGGGTAAGTTTTAATACAAACTATATGTGTAATAGTCGAAGGACATTTACACTTTTAGATTAGTAGACTTTCTGAACAGTAGAGTCATGAGGAGGAAGAATGAGCTACGAGATAATATTAATACTACACGACAGAGTTATAATCGGTAACGGCGAATGGCCAAGTCGTTCCAGTAAGTTAGTTTTTTAGTTAGACCCGCTACCGTTTTGGGTGAGAAACAGAAAAAATACACAAATAAACACAAAAAGCATTTTAAAAAGTCAGTGTTTGTGTAGTTTTTTACGAATGGTTTGTTGATCACTGCGGAAAACGTAGTCCAGGATATACATCAGAATACTATTCTCTGGTGACCCAGCTTAGATAGTCAGTACCCTTCATTTACTCCAAGAATCAGTTCCCAATAGGTGTTTAACAATCAAATTTGCCGCTAAAATTTAATATTGTTCTTCGGACACCAACTTTTAGTATTAGGACATGCTTTTACATGATTTGTAATTCCTTGTGGTTTGAAATAATTTCCACACCCAGGACACTTGTACTGGTTATTAGTACTTTTCATTAACACCTCTGTAACTTTTCGTTTGAACACTCCATGTGATGTTGCCAATTTCTCTCTTCTTCGTCTGACTACACGTTGTTTATATTCATAAATGATGTCTTGAATTCTGTCACTTACGGATCTCTCTTGCACATTTCTTATTGATTGTTTTCCTCCAGTGAACTCTGTCCAGAGTCTCTCTTCTCCAATTTTTAATTTGACATACTTCAGTATCATTCTGAATTTTGTCCTTCCACCTCTTCCTGATATTCCGAGGTCGTTTCTCGTCAGCCACGTATGAGAACATGATCTTTTTGACTACTGAGGGTTTATGATCACTGTTTAACATCCTGTTCGTTCCGGTAAGACTTTTTCACCCTAAAAAAACGTTTTAACCAGTGTGATTTTGAGATTTTTCTTGAATAAAATTAGTCTTTCACTATAAAAAAGTGGAAAATTTAGAACGGCCGTTTCGGTAGAGATTTTTAAGAAGGATATCGCACCAATTCTAAACATTTTGGAACGGTTCCATCTCTGCTATATGAACGTAGATTTTTTTTAGTTTAACTGTGGAAAGTTTTTGATGTGACTATTTGACTCTATGATCTTTTGTAGTCCTGTAGACTACTGACAGATAAATGTGATCCATATTCGCATGCGTTTTTTATTCTGATAGCTGGAGAACAATATGAAAGTCTAAATAAATTTTGTTTCGTTACAGAAAAACTCAAGCCTTGGAAACGTTTTAGGATCAGTTTAAATTTTCAAGACTTGAGCTTTTCTGTAATGAAAAAGTAGTAAAACAAAATTTATTTAGTTCAAATAAGTCGAATTTAAAATATCAAAATATGAAAGTCTCTCCTGTTTTATAGAAGTGCAGTAATTTGACGAATGAATTCGTAAATGAGTGCTACATAAAACATATAAAAATCCTTACAAAATTCACTATTATATTTATTATTTTGAGCTTTTTTGAACAGTACTCTGTTCATGATCAGCAAAAATAACCATATGACTAGAGAAAAATTCCTATTCTTACATTTTTACGGTTTCATTTTCAGTGTAGAACGAGAGGGAAAAGCGAAGAAGATATTTTATTTACGAATAATGATTACTACCTCTCATTCAAGTTAATAGCGCATTCCAAAAAACACTAACTTTAAAAAGTATTTTTCTTTCATTACAAAAGAAATAAAAAGTGGAAAAGAATCATCATCAAAGTGGAAAGAATCATCATCAGTCACTCAACACGCGAATAGAGATCAACATAAAATCGATTTCGACAATATTGACACTCTTGGGTTAGAAACAGACTGCACATAGACGGATGATAAAGGAGGATCTGTTTATACACTCCTGTCATGGACAGACAGACACTCAAAGAGAATTAAACATAACTGAGAGTTGTTGTTTTGGTGAACAAAATATGTAGATCTTCTCAAACGACAAATGTGTTTATAAGCATCTTTATTACAAATTGCTTCTTCCTTTTTCCCACGCGTTCTACCCTGAAGATGAAACCTTAAAAATATTAGAATAGAAATTTTTCTCTAGTCATATGGTTATTTTTGCTGATTATAAATAGAATACTGTTTAAAAAAGTTCAAAATAATAAATATAATAATGGATTTAGTAAGGATAAAGGACTTAAATTAAGACCGAAAACTTAAGTCATTGACACATTTTTCGGAATAGCCCAGACATTCAACGATACGATTCGACGAAAATGACATTCTAAGGATTAGAGAATAAATATTTCGTTATTTTGCATGTTTTTATTCGAAGTTTGTCACTGTTGTCAACGACTTTTAAAAAGTAAACAAATCGCGCCAACTTAAGTCTTTTACGTGATACGGTTTAAGTCCCCGAACTTAAGTCGGTCTTAAACTTAGACTTAAGTTTTTTCGTGATACGACCTCCAGTAGTCA